TGTGGTTAATGTTTTAAATTTTATGTGTTTAAATTTAATTTTTGTCCCATACAATTTGGATTAGAGTCAATTATGAAATTATTGTTTATTGTCTAATTTAAATCTAGAACTTGAAAAAACATGTTGAGTGTTTCCAATAACAAGTGATTTTGGGATGATGAGTATGATAGTGAAAAAGAAATTGACGGGGAGAATTAGGAATTAATTGAATCAGAGAAGCTAGCCAAAAACCTAAGCGAGGAGTGAACCAAAAACAGTTAAATTGAGTGTCAACACTTTATGATGATAACTGGTATTGATTGATTCTTTGATGTGATTGCATGTTAGCAAGACTTGATAAAGGCATTTTTTCTTGTGTAGTAGATATAAACCAGAGCCAAATAGTCAACCCTGTATTAATTATAGGTCATCCATTTGAACCCCATCTGAGCCAAAAACAATATTGTTTCTTAACAGAACCCCTGAGCCTAAACAATATTTATCCACCTTCCTATATTTGAGAAAGGAAATAATTATGAATGTTATTATTTTTCCTACGGGTATTGTTGGGTATTGCTATTGTTGTCTTACGGGTACTGTTTGGGTGTTATTCTTTAAAAAAAAAAAGATGAAAAGAAAAGTATAAGTATTGTGACTAAGCTGAAATGATAAATGCAAAGCATGAGAGAAGGAAAAGAAATTCAAGGGGGAGTGAATGATAACTTGTGAGATTATTAACTCACTGTCATTGTGTTGAAACAAAAGCATGAAGTTTAAGACTCGACTTAAGAAAATGTTAAACAGGAATCATTCATATGATTTGAATTTCTCAAATATTTTTGTATATCCCAGAAAAACCAATGATTTCTTCTTAGCCCAGCCCCATTACAAGCTTCAAAAGACCTTTTGATTTAAGTCTTGCTTGAAAAATGCTGATTGCTTGAAGATGACTATCAATATTTGATTGTTTAAATGAAGTGATTGAATGAGATAAACGCTTACCTGTGAGATGTGAGAGATCATGCTTCTCTGAGGATAGTTGATGATTAATTTTCCTTTATTATTTTTTGTAACTGTAATCCTTATGTATCCTATTTTTATTTGGAGTTGTGAGCATCGCATCTGAAAGAAAAGCTAATTTTATGTTGTGGTTCTAGAAGAGAAAGTGATAATAGGTGATGATTTTATTTTGGAAAAATTACTTTGCTTGAGACAAGCAAGATTTTAGGTTGGGGGAGTTGTTTAGTGATAAAAAGTTAATATAATTATGCTTTAAATTGTTATGAAATTACTTAACTTATGTTAATTCTAATATATTTTTCTCCCAATGTAGGATGAATTCGAGAATACCTTGATGCAAGAGTAAGAAGCATAATTGTTAACATAATTGGAGCAAAATTGAAAGGAGGAAGAAGAGTTTTAGCATGGAAGTCGCTCGAGTGAGATAGACTCTCGCTTGAACGAATATCAGTTAAAACTCTCTAGAAGTCATTCGCTCAAGCGCTAGTAATTTCGCTTGAGTAAATGTTAGTTATTCTTCTTTAGAGCTTACTCGCTCAAGTGAGAAATTTCTCGCTTGAGCAAAAATAGGGAACTTTCGCTTGAGCGAGCATTGTCGCTTGAGCGAAAGATGTGAGACTCAATTTTTCCTATAAAAAGATAAGATGTGTTTTGAGAAAAGGAAACGGTTTTGGGGAGAAGAGGTGCGACTACTGCTAGGGTTTCGTCCAATCTTCATCAATTCTTCACTTCTTTCACATTTGGAGCATTGCAATGGCCAACATGAGTGACTAACTTCATTCTCTTGGGATTTTGTGCACTTCCTTTGAACTCTTTTGTATCATGGTGATATTTTGAGATATTAATCTATGTTTTGATGTTGTTATTCTTATCTTTTGTGCTTTGGAATGATTTATTCTTGATGTTTAGCGTATGATTGAAAAATATATCTTGAACTCTAGATTCCGATAAAAATATTTGTTACGTTAATTATCAGGAATGGAAGGAATATATCAATTGCTTAACACCCTAACCATAATGTTGGAAAATCTCTTAATGTGTGTGAAATCAACATTTATTAGGTTTTTCTATGAATTTCATGTGTGAGAAATCAACATGGATGAATTACGTAGGTGACATCAACATTGTTAGGTTAATTGATGTTCTTAATAGACATAGTTATTGCAAAAGAGGGATAAGGAAGGAAGTCAATCTTATGTTCCTTTAATTTATCTTTTCTAAACAATTTACAGTTCTTGTTATTTAATTTCAATTCAACTCTTTATGCAAAACTCACTTTATTTAATCTACTTAATAAACATATAATTGGGAATTTCCATTGAAACCGTTCCTCATGGGATCAACTTTTATTTAATCGAAATACTATATTGCAATTGATAATTTTGGTACGCTTGTCAATAATTCAACATTTTACTCCATTAGAAGTTTTCTTAATAAATTTTAAAAATTCATTATCTCTCTTATTTTCTCTCCTCATTTACATTGATTTGCTTATTTTTTGTAAGTTGCTTGATGAAACAAATATAAAAAAAAATTAAGCACTTATCATGCCACGTAGGATTCCTTCAATGAAAAATTATTTCAAGCAACTAATACTTTATTTAAACATCTTAATAAGCAAATCCAATTGCATATGCTCTAAGTTTCATAAGTAAATTCAAGTTGTGAAATTTAGAAGACTTCTCTGAGCTATACTCCAATCAATATTATTATTTTTTGTATGTAAGTCAAGTTGTATTTGTAAATGTGACTAAGTCAATTCGACCTAAAGTTTTTCTTGACAATTATTTTTATGGTATAATAACATGAGTGTTAGGACATCAATTATTATGATATCCTATCACTAGTACATAATAGGTTTTTTTTTTTATGTTATTTTTGGTTTTTTACATTTGATTAAACCTTGACGTTAATATGAGAGACATAAGTTTATATTAAAGTAACTAACCAATGTAATTTTACCTCAAACATTGTACACCTGACGTAAATTAACACTAGTTCTGATACCATTTAATGTAAATTTATGTCCTAAGGAATCCAAACATTTTCCTTAGACACACTACAAGAATTTTACATATTAGTTATGACACATTTCGTAGCTATTATATAACTAATATCTCGCTGATACGTTTTGCTACAAATTAGCTATGGAGTAGCTATGGAATAATTCGTCTCCAAATCCAAATAGCTAATTAGATATAGATGTATTTTCTCTCAAATTTATAGCAAATTTTGTTGTCAATTTGTCGCTAAGTCCCTCACTAATTTAAGTCATGAAATTTTTATCTTTCCCTAGCTAATTGATGTCCTAAATTTCTGGCTAACTTGTAATTAATCCTTCCTAATTGTTTTGTCGTTAATCCGTAGTTAATCCCTCGCAATTTTTCTCTAACTAATCTGTGGTAAATCCTTTGCAATTTATCTGTAGTTGATAGGTAGTTAATTCATCTCAAAATTTCTCTCGCTAATCTATAGTTAATCTCTCGCAATTTGTCTCTAACTAATTTGTGGTAAATCCCTTGCAATTTGCCCCTAACTAATATGTGGTAAATCCCTTGCAATTTGTTTGCAGCTAATATGTAGTTAATTCCTCTCAAAATTTGTCTTACTAATCCATAGCTAATCCCTTGCAATTTTTCTATTGTTAATCTGTAGTTAATCTCTGACAATTTATCTCTAATTGATTTCTAATTAATTTCTCGCAATATTTATCTCACTAATCCGTAGCTAATCCTTCGCAATATATCTCTCGCTAATACGTAGTTAATCCCTTACAATTATCTGTCGCTAATATGTATCAAAATTCATCTCTCGCTAATTTGTAGTTAATCTATCGCAATTTTATGTGCAGGTAGTTTGCTAATTATTATTATTGGCGTAGTAGGTATTCTTGTTAAAGTATCATCATAATATTATAATATCAAATGTTTAACATTTAAACTATTACTCATATTCATGAAAAAAGAAGACAAACTTATCAATTTTCAATATAAAAATATTGTTTAAATATGGTCAAAATGATGTTTTAAATAATTAAAACATAACAAAAATAATATTTCAACTAAAAAGTTTTGTATAAACTAAAAAGTTATATATCAACACAATTAAAAATAGAAACAAAGTTTTGATTCTTTAAAGTATATTTTCATCCTTGTTTTTTTAAGGCAGTATAATAAATCTTTCTTAAAAGATCGCATTTCTTCTTGTATTTGTTGTTGCATGAGTGATACAAATGCTTTTCCACATTAAATGATACATTCCAATAACGATTCCTACATTTTTCACATGGGCAAGGAATACACCTCGCTACATCGAGCAAATTTTGGGTCTTTTATCGCTATTTGAATAAAACCATCAACATCATTTCGAATTCTTCAGTTATAATGCTTGAATTGATTATTTCTTTGTAACATCCATTTTCGATTTGATCTCATTACTCTTGCAGCTAGTTTAACAAAATTTACAAAATAATTACATGAATAGAATTACATTAAATAATTATAATCATAAATTTTTTTTAACGAGACAATTTTTTTTATTTAAGTGTGTGTCGAATATGTTCCCCATATGCAGTACCAATATTAAATATTTTATTATATTTATATTGGACAGAATTTCAAATAAAAAGAAGAAACAACTTGATTAGTAAGTAATTTCAGATAAAAATAGACTTTTTTTTTATTTTATATAAGTCAATAAGTAATTTGAAGAAATAACTTGATTGATCCCTAAAATTTTGGGTTAAAAATGGTGTGATATTTTTCATAATAATAACTCTCTTGTACATTAACTATTTGCAAAATAAATTACACATTTACCATACTAAACAACTCTTATAATCAATACTAATTTTAATTAATTCACAACATAGCCATTAAACTCCATTTAATATATTAAAAATATAACATAATAGAAAATTATATTAAAATGTGGTATATTTTAGTTTTTATATTATTATAATAGAAAATAGTTACATTTTATCTATAAACCTATAAAAAATGTTATAATAGAGTTATCAAGTCATATCCAAATTTCCTTAAATGAAGTGGAGATATTCTACTAAAATAACTTAACATCTTGCTCTCATCACAATCAAACACCCTCTTGTCCAAGCTACAGTTTTCCATGTAGTCATAGACTAACAAGAAACTCCTAACATCTTTCTTGCACCAACCTCTCAACCCCACCAAATTCCTTTGTTTCAGTCTCCCAAGGCTTGAAACTTCAGCTAGAAATTGTTGCACACCATCATTTTTATGAGAAATGCACTTCAAAACAATCGCCACCCCTCCTCTTAAAACACCCCTGTAGACTTTCCCATTCCCACCAACCCCAATCACATAATCCTCAGAAAACCCCTTTGTTGTTGCCTCAATTTCTTCATACACCATTCTGTGTGACCAATACTCCAACTCCCAATCTTCCATTTCCTGCCTCTTCCTTTCTCTCCTACACTTCCTTTGAATCAAAATAAGTGCCAACAAAACCAAGAGACAAATAACTAAGAAAACTCCAACACTAAACCCTGCAACATTTTCGGAATCTCTCAAAATCTTTAGTGTGTACTCCATCAACATTTTTTACAACAGAACAAAATTATACATAATGTAATGTGGTTCCAAAATTCATACTAACAACTTCAATAAAGCATGCCATTTTACAACAGTATAAAGAATAGTAATATTCAAAATGAAGAAGAGATTACTATGAGAAAGCGTGAATGACAACAGTGCAGAAGTGGTGCAGCAACGACGCGGTAGTTGTGTGGCGAGTGGTGCAAGTAGCAATAGTGTCGTGGTAGGGCAGCGGCAGCGGTGTGACAATGTCAACGACAATGGGTGACGACAAGAGCATAATCAAATGTAGATCTAGGTTTTAGTTGGAAGTGAGATGGGGAAAAAGGGGAAAAAGTTAATTTAGTATTTTTATTAAAAATTATAAAATTTCTATATTTTTTAAAAAATAATATCTTTATTATTATATTAAAGATGTTTAAATTAAAAATAATATTTAATTAATTAAATATTTGAATATAATAAATTTTTTATTTCTTATACATATTAATTTATAAAAAAAATTATAAAAAATTTATAGAAAATAATTTTAAATATTTACCAATTTTTATAGATATTTTTTCAAAAAAATTATAATTATTTCCAAATAATTTATTTCAGATATAGAAAATAATTTATATATATATATAATTAATATATTTATAGTAAATTTGGTAAAAATAATTTGCAAATAATTTTTTTAAGAAAAAATTACAATTAATTTTTGTTGATATTTTTTTAAAAAGATCAAAATTATTTTTTATAATTATATATTTTTAGAGAAATTAACAAGTATTTTTTGTAAATAATTTTTTGCAAAAACAAATATACGAAATAAATAAATTTTAGTAGAAAGTTGACTTGTATTTGCAAGAGATATGTAAGAAATCTCTAACAAATTTGCATTGAAATTGTGAGAGAATAGTTTCCAGCAACTTAATACTCTTTTCAATTTGATATTTGTTATAAATTTGCTACAGTTTAGCTATGATTATATGCTACATAATTTAGTTAGGAAATAGCTTCAGAAAGTAACATAACTAATATTTATCGCGATGAATTAGTGATAAAAATTTTCCTAGCTAAATTATTTTTTTGCTAAGTGAGGGAATAACTGCAAAAATGTTAATCTTCTAACTATTTTACTATAGATTAACTACAACCTTATTTCTTTACTATTCCATTGCTAATTAGCTACAAATTAGTGAAAAATAAATTTTATAGCAAATTTTCCTAACTAATTGTAAAATTTCTTGTGGTGACACCAACTAGTCGTGTATGACGTTCTTGCACCCTTCGCTCCCTTGCATGCCTAAGACCTTCTTCAACGGGGTTTGGATTTCTTATTCACTCCCTTACTTGTCTTTTCAACTCCTCAAATGACTCCCTCTCTTGAACCATGTTGTCCACTTGCTCTATGCAAAATGGTATACTTCGTTCTTACTTGCATTGTGTTCTGTCCTTGATAGGATAAAGAAAGATTATTCAAGTAGTTTGGTTTTTGTTACTATCTTTGTTCCTCCTAATTTCACGTTGCTTGATCCCTACCCTTTAACTTTGTTTGATAGAGCTGTGAAACTTCATATTCTTTCTTAAAGGTTTTGTTACAAAGAACTCAATGAGACATTCATATATTATCATGATTGAGATCCCTCAAAACAACCACGACTTCCATTTCAATAAAAAAATAATCATAGAGCACTAACCACAATCACACAATAAATGCCAACATGCTCCAATCCAATAAGGGAGAAATGTCTAGAACTAGAAATTGGTTACAATGATGATGTCATCATAGCTCATCATGGTCGAAAAATGCCCAAGAAAGTCATTGTGTTGTTACTGTTCAAGTCGTTCAAAAGAAAATTCTCGCATGCATGAGGAAGATGAAGTTCTGAAAGAGATATACAATGAATTTTACGGTGAACCATATGTGGTCCAACATAAAAAGGTGACATTTACATTGGATATGTCATAGTTTGACATAAATTTCACTTTTTATGTCGGATCCCCTATGATCCTATATAAGAAAGTTGGTTTAAATTTCAAAAATGACACCACAATTTTTTACGTTGAGTAATTACGAATTCGACGAGAAAAAGTTGATGTAAAAGATGCATTTTACATTAGTGTATTGTTAAAAGATGTTTTTTTTTCTCAGACTGCACTAGGGTGACAATTTGTAAATAATATACTATAATGATGATAACATATTTGAGATGCTAGATTTTTAACGTGTTAGACATCAGTGTTCATGACACCTTGAGTTAATTTTTAAGAGTAAATCATTGGTCAAGAAAATTGAGAAGATGACTGAGGAGGTTCAACGAAGTGTTGAGGATGTCGATATTGATGTGAACATGACCTATGATAAGGGCTAGAGTAAGGGAAACAAAGGAAGCTCTTCAATAAGTATTGTTGGTTGACCAAATTGTGTTTTGGATTAATCAATTAATGGGCTTTAGTTTGATTTTTTTAAGTTGTAATAAGGGTCCAATTGAAAATTTAGTCATCAGCCTTTGGGAGACCAAGGGATGCATAGCTGATTAACTTTTGGTTGCCACAGTTTCAGATACAATCAGTCATTAAGTAGTTTTCAATTCCTAGGTTAATGGATCATTATTAGCCTTTATTTGTTTCCATTAAATAGTTTTCAATTCCTAGATTAATGGGTTATTATTAATATTTATTTTCTTTTATTGAGCCTTTTGTAATTCTGATGGCAACGCTTCTATATTAGCTGAACCATTCTTATCAAGAAATAACAAGTGAAATTTTATTCAGAAATATTAGAGTTTATCTCTTTTATCTTAGTGAGAGTGATTCTCCTAAATTCTTAAGTGATTCAAGAACCTTTGGCTATATCAAAGGACTGTCACATCCTTTGTGTGTTGCCTCCCTTGGGAAGAGTGATTCTTTCTTTCCACCTTCTTTCAAATTCCTAAATTTCTTACAAGGTTCTAACCCTAAAGATCCTAAATTACCCCTTGTGATTCATACCATTTGGTATTCAGAGCTCCGATTTAAGGTTTTAAACATCAAATTGATGGCAGAAGAGGAAAATTACAATCAAGAAGCAGGAATTAGTCCAATTCAAATGAGAGTATTGGTACAACATTTGGAAAGATTAATGATACGACATAACAATGAGCTCCATGAAAGATTGAACCGGTTGGAGAATAGAAATTCTGAAGACGAAGAAGAAAGGAGAATGAATGATGGAGTAACAAGACCAAGTAAGCTTGAAGGAGTCAAGCTTAACATTCCTCCGTTCAAAGGAAAAAGTGATCCAGAAGCATACTTGGAGTGGGAGATGAAAATAGAACATGTTTTCTCATGCAACAATTATGAGGAGGCCCAAAAGGTGAGACTTGCAACAACAGAATTTTCTGACTATGCTCTTGTTTGGTGGAACAAGCTACAAAAGGAGAGAGATAGAAATGAAGAGTCAATGGTTAATACATGAACTGAGATGAAAAGGATCATGAGGAAGCGGTATGTGTCGGCTAGTTATGCAAGGGACTTGAAATTTAAACTCAAAAAACTTACTCAAGGCAACAAAGGGGTTGAGGAGTATTTCAAAGAAATGGACATGCTCATGATTCAAGCAAAGATTGAAGAAGATGAAGAGGTAACTATGGCCCGATTTATTGGTGGTTTGAATATTGAAATATGTGATATTGTTGAGTTGCAGGAGTTTGTTGATATGGAGGATTTACTTCATAAAGCAATTCGAGTGGAGCAACAACTTAAAAGAAAAAAAGTGACTAAGAAGAGTTCTACCAACTTTGGATTTTCAAGTTGGAAGGACAAAGGCAAAAAGGATGGGACTGTTACTTCTAGTAGTTCCACACCTATTCCTACAAAGACTCATTCAAAATATGAAGAACAACCCTCTAAAAAAAGTAGAGATGTGAAGTGTTTCAAGTGTCAAGGCCTAGGACACTATGCTTATGAGTGCCCTAACACAAATACCATGATTCTTAGAGAGGGATAATATATAAGTGAATCTGAGGTTGAAGAGGGAGAAAAGAGTGAAGACACTGAGGAGGAAGAAGAGATTCCAAAGGGAGATTTATTGATGATTAGGCGATTACTTGATAGTCAATTGAAACCTATGGAAGAAAACCAAAGAAAAAATATTTTTCACACTAGATGTTTAATCAATGACAAGGTGTGCATGATGATCATAGATGGAGGTAGTTGCACTAATGTGGCTAGTGCTAGATTAGTATCAAAACTAAATTTAGCTACCAAACCACATCCTAGGCCATATAAACTTCAATGGCTTAGTAAGGATGGAGAGGTGCAAGTGAGACAACAAGTTGAAGTGGACATTTCCATTGGAAAATACAATGATAAGGTGTTTTGTGATATTATTCCTATGGAAGTCAGTCATTTACTTTTGGGGAGACCATGACAATTTGATAAAAGGGTTAATCATAACGGGTTCACCAACAAGATTTCTTTCATACATCAAGACAAGAAGATTGTTCTCAAACCTTTGAGTCCACAAGAAGTATGTGAGGATAAAAAGAAAATGAAAGAAAAACTTCTTCAAGAAAAGAGAGAGAAAGAAAGCGTTAGTGAAACACTTGAGAGGAAAAAGAGTGATCAAAAGAAGAATGAAACACTTGAAGTGAAACAGAGCTATTTAGCCATAAAAAGTGAGTATAATGTTTGTGCTACATTTAATTTGTCAGACTTATCTCTTTTTAATGTAGATGACGAATCCGATTTGAGGACAAATCCTTTTCAAGAGGGAGAGAATGATGTGAACATGACCTATGATAAGGGCTAGAGCAAGGGAAACAAAGGAAGCTCTTCAACAAGTATTGTTGGTTGACCAAATTGTGTTTTGGATTAATTAATTAATGGGTTTTAGTTTGATTTTGTTTTAAGTTGTAATAAGGGCCCAATTGAAAATTTAGTCATCGGCCTTTGGGAGACCAAGGGATGCATAGCTGATTGACTTTTGGTTGCCACAGTTTCAGATACAATCAGTCATTAAGTAGTTTTCAATT